CCCCCCAGCTTACCAGGCCGCAGCGCTGCATGCTGGAGAAGTGCATCTCAGGGATGAAGAGCACAGGTAGCGTCACCATGTCCTCCAGCATCTTGAAGGAGGTGCAGTCGCTGCTGATGGAGCTGGAGACCACTGGCTGCTTGCTGTTGGACGCTGTTGAGGAGCATGGGGGGGGGGGTAAGTCTTATTTATCTGTCCTTCTTATTTATCTGTATCTTTGGGCTGCGGAGCTCGGCCTGGTCGTTGTCACTCAGTCAAGCGAGACAGGACTCAGTGAGGCGTGAGAAGCCGCCCTTAACTTGCAGGAGGGCATTCCTGCGGCGCCTGACATGCCCCCCCCCACCCCCGCCCCACTTACTCCATTGGCCAGCAGTATTGCTCTGTAGGAGTTCTGATGCTGGGCCAGGCTCTCGCCCTACGCCTGCCTGACATGCCTGCCTATAGGCAGGCGTGACCCCGAGGCCCATAAATCACTGTGTGGAATGAGCCCCTGGCTGACACAGGCGGTGATTAGCCCAAAGACTCCATTGGGGGGGGTCGGGAAAACTCACTGTTTCGGCTGGAATCGGTGGCTTTGACCCTCCTCTTCTCCCTCTTCCGCTCCTCGTCTCTCATCTTCCTCTCTGCGCCCTGGAGAGAGATGAAGGCACAGAGTTCTTGAGTCAGCTCCAGCTAAGAGCTCTGACAGAACCAGCGTGGCTACAGGCATCTAAAACTGCAGAAATGCCCCACGGCTGCACGTGAGCCGCAGGTGCAGGACCCCAGTCGTCTGTCTCCCGAGCCGGAGACTAAAAACCACATCAGTTGGTTCTTGTCAGATGGAAGCAAAGGACTTGTTGTCCTGAGGATTTAAGCTGAAAGATGGGGAGATATCAGGGGCAGCCCAGGGTCTGCTGAGTGCTCTGTGTCTCCTCCAGCTGAAGCGGAACCCATAGGCCCGGCTGATGACATCATCCCTCTCCTCACGGTACAGGAGCAACACCAAAAAACACTGATTTAATCTAGTTTCTTTTTGTGCCGGTTTTGCTGTCATGATATGGGTGTGTACAGCATGCATGGCAGACCACGGCACCGGATCCCAGGTCAAGGTGCCGTATTTTTCATGGGCAGAACATACCTGACAGCTTCCGGAATATTTTGCATTTTGCAATGCACTAAACTAACAACTAACCTGGAGCTGTTTGAGTTTATGGGCCAATTCAGGCATGTTTTGCAGGTTCTGGACATGAGACAGGGAGTCTCACCTTATCACAGAAGATTTTGACCTGGCAGGCTGCCCTGTGGATGAGACGGTTGGTGCCACTGCTGAAGTCGTAGATGTCGATCTGCAGGTTGAGGGGGAGGCCTTTTACACCCTTCTGGGAGGAGAAGTCCGTGCTCAGCGAGTTGATGCCAATGTAGACCTACAGTGAGATGGGGGGGGGTGATCATAATCATCCTCACAGATGATAAAGGAGTAGCAGAACAGAAAGGCTGCACAGCGGTAGGGAGTCTGGCTAATCCCCAAATGCAAAGCTAACTGCGCCCTGCTCGCTTCCGCGGGAAAGTGAGAGTTTAGTGGCGTGTCAACGTGTGCAAGTCCCAGCTTGTTCAAGGTGGGAGATGACAAGGGACGGACAGGTGGAGCGCAGCGCTCTGCCGCACCCCCCCACCGCAGCGCTCCGCCGCACCCCCCCGCCGCACCCCCCCACCACAGCGCTCCACCGCACCCCCAGCTGGGCCACATTCCTTACTCAGGACTTCACGAGGTTCCTCAAGGGTCACATTTGGGGGTGATACCAAGGTCCCCCCCCACGGCCCATGAGAACAGCTGAATGGCAGACAGGGAGTGGCTTCTTCCTGTACTGCTGTGGCAACACCCTCCTCTCTCTTTCTGGCACCTCCCCCTCCTGTTCTCTCTTTTCTTTAACACCTGCTGCCAGTTTCAGTGCCCCGCCCGAGAGAGCCTGGGGCAAGCAGCAGATCAGATTGGGCTCTTTCAAGGCGTCTGTGTGGTGACAGGTACCCTGGGGTGGTGACATGCCAAGAATTCCTTGCTGGTGGGGGGGGGGGGGGGGCACAGTACTGCCTGTGCCCATTGGCTGTCACCCACCCCAGGGTTTATGAGAGTCATGAAGGAAAGCTTCCTCTATACTATTGGCTCGCATCAGTTTTACACCAAGGTCTCTAACACCTTTGGTTACCTCCTGCTCCTTGATGAGTCTCACCTTGGCTTCTTCGGCTGTGTTCCAGATGAAGGACAATGCGTTGAAGGCGACTTCCTCCACATTGCTGATACTGCTGAAGACCTCCTTGTAGTCCGCTGGAGCAGAACATGAAGAACACAGTGTGATTAAGAGGGAGGTAAGACATCATGGGGAAGCACTTCAGTATTGTCTTGTGTTCTCAAAGAAACCTGGGGGGGTGGGTGCAACTGGCTGAAGGATGTGATGACTCAAATGGAAAAAGTCGTGGTTAGCAGAGTCAAGACATGGTCAGCGCAGCCAGTGCCTTTATGGCAGACGCTGGCCCTCGGGGACAAGACTGTGTCCCCAGTGATAGGGTCTCGGTAAGAGGGGCTGGAGGGTGCAGCCATTTCACGGCTCACGTACCGATGTCAATGACCCTCTGCTTGACGGTGGGCTGCCTGGCGTGCCAGTGGTTCCAGCACTTCAGCTGCATCTCTGGGCTTTTGTCGTTCTCAAACACGGCCATGATGACTGTCTGTGGGGAAGCAGACGGGATCAGCCTCTGCTTATTCTCTCCATCCAAACGCACAGGATCAGCCTCTGCTTATTCTCTCCA